TTTCAGAACATGAAACAAGATTCTGTAACATTCTGTGACAGTTCCAATTTACGACATAGCTAAACAACATCTTATTACTGAACAACGAGTCTAAAAGATTCGAATTTTTAACGTACCCGATTTAAGTTCACAGTTCTTGGCTTGAGCAGAACATTCTACAGACATCGACCTCATCTCTTTGTTGAGTTGATGCGTCTAAAGCTTCCACCTTTGTCGGATTATGACTTCCAACATAATCTGTAATTGAAACACAATAACAATCGACTTAGTCATCAACGAATATCTTTCGATGAAACAAGAACAAAAAAACACATAAACAAAGAAATTTTAGAAAGATTCAATTTTTAAACCTTCATTGACAACGAATCTTTGTTGGGTTGAAGAACACACAGAGGAATTGCTTAGAACAGAGAGAGACATTAAGCGAAAATCTCAATCGTAGTTTTTTTTTTTCTTTCTTGGCTAAAGAACTAGAAGCACACAAACAAACACATTGATGTATTTATAGAACAATTGAGATTCAAATTATTACCGTTGTAATTAACGGCTACTTATAGAACAATTGAGAAAAATCTAATTCAAATTATTACCGTTTTAATTAACGGCTACTTAATCTGTCTCTTGAGAAGACAGTTCTGAGAAGACCGTTCTCGCTGTTTATATACATACAGTAGATGAAGATGAACAACTCAACTTAATGGGCCTTTTAAGTGTTCTGAGAACTTTCTCTCTTAGGCCCATTTATGGCCTTTTATCAAATACAGCTGTCAAGATTTGCTTACCGTTTGAAGAGTCAAAGCTGCGAGAACATTTTGTTTGATGAGAAGTAAATTCGTCAGTCAACCAATCTCGGAGATTGAATCACCGGAAAAAAATCAGAATGCTTAAGCTTCTGATTGTGGCGTTGCTTTTGATTTTCGAGACGGAGAAGGTCGTGTCGCATCAGGAGTCTGGTGAATGGAGCTGTGAATCGGATTCGGAGATCCAGGTCATGGCTGATTTCAAACCGGGACTCATCACTCTCGATGGGCGAAACGATGACTGGAAGGACATTGATGGCTCTGAGTTTCCTCTCCGACCTGCGCTTGATCCGGACGCTGACCACGAGTATTCCGATGGACAGATGACAGTCAAGGTAACGTGTCGATTCGAATCGGATATGCGTTATGTAGTGGTTCCGGAATTACTTGTAGTTTGTATAGATTGCTGAAATTTGGGATTTGGCAAGATCTGTTTGGTGATGCAAACCTCTGATAAATCTGGATTTTTGTGGACTCTTTGAGTTCGATGATGAATCGTTTTAATTTCGTTTCTGACATTTAATGGGTGGATTTCTATTTGTAGGCATTACATGATGGTCGAGATATGTACTTCATGTTGGAAATTGATGGAAACTATGCTTATGATAAAGGGTACGTGTGTTTTCTTTGTTTAATTTGATTATTGGAGTCGCATTTCTGAAATGTACAATCCATTTCTAGCCGCTGCAAGATCCATGAACTGGTGATCAGAACCATACAGTATCTTTAGAGCTATATTAACTGTGTTCTCAAATTTTAGTAGATGTCTCTGCTTCTAACCTTTGAGAAAATTGGTCTGGCAATGGAAGTTTGGATTTGATGCAACTCATTTCTACTTATAGTTTGTTTGATCTTCCTGAATAAGTTATGTCCGCTTGGTGATGTTTTTTTGTGTGTGTGAATTGGGATTCTTGAAATTTAGAATTTAGTCATTAGTTGCCAGGATCTGGCGTGTCTATTGCTTTCTAAGATACAGAGATGTCAAAAATACATTTATGTGCTGCTTTAGATGATAGTGAAAATGACCTTGATTTAATTGATTCTACATAACTTCAAATTGCAAGTCCAAGTGAAATGCTTGCTTATTTGTATTCAGTGAAAACAAGAAATGTCCTTCGGTGGCTCTCATGTTCCAAATTGGTGATCAAGCTACTTATCACAATGTAAGTTTCCCAGGTGACTAAAGTAATTTTGTTCAAATGTTTCATCTAAGATCCACGTTTTTCTTAATATGAAACATCTCATGTCAACCTTCTGCTTCACAAGATGGGTGGTTGTAAAGAAGGGACTGACTCATGTACCAGCAAGGCTTGCAGAGGCTTCGAGGTTGATATCATGCATTTCTCGATTGGCAATGCTATTCCAGGACGCCTTTACGGTGGTAATCCAATAGACAACAGGGAAGGAAATGGAGGTGACAGGTGATCCTTGATCTCTCTTTACTGTTGTGTCTCTCTCATACTTTGATCTGGTGTTGTACCAATCTAGTGAATCTAGCTCAATTATTTATTTGTTTATCAAGTGGCTTACTATTACCTCTGATTATTGAATGCCTCTGTATTTTTTCATATGAACAGATTTGGTCATCTGGTTGACATTTATGCGTGGAATCCACATTGTCGATACCTTGATGGTCTTGGACCCTCAGGTACTTCTCGGATCAGAAAATGTTATATTTTAACTCAAAAAACAATCAATGGCATAGAAGCTCTCCCTATAATGACTATAATCAAATAACCAATTTCAACCAAGAACATATATACCTTTCATTTGATTTGCTTCATGATAGCTTAGTAATTAGTTACTTCTCGTCACTTATTTAACTCAGACTTTGCAGGTTATTATTGATCCATTAATGTGTTTGCTAAGTAGAAGACATCTTTAAATTCCTTAGATTATAAATTATTTGTTTTCTAGCTGGATGCTTAGCTACTCAAGAAGCTTGAAGAGCGGTCTCTTTCTCCTGTGAAAATTACAAATATGTGATCCCAATGGATACTCTTCTGGCAGGAAATGATTCTAGTGCACAGAACGATTGGCATGGAGCTTGGTGGCACAGCAGCTTCACTACTCAATCAGGTCAGTCTTACATATCTACATAATCAGTTCCATGAGTTCTCAAAACAGAGATATATCATGCTTTCAACTGGGAAAAGAGATGGAAGTGAATTAAAGCTTGGTATTTGTAATCATCTCTTAGCCTTAGGCATCTCCTCTGGTTACTTATCTTTGAAGCTTTCAACAGGTTATGTAGAGGAAGACAGCCCTTACACGCCAGATGGCCAGAAAGGAACTTACTATTTTGAGTTTTCAAGGCCTTTGAGGACTATGGACCGTCTCCAACAGGTCAGTAAATCCTCTACTCGGACAACCACGTTTGGTTACCAGTCGCCCTTCCCTAAAATATAGCATAAACTCCAAGCTTTCTTACCTCTATGAATCGATATTTACTCTTAAACAAGATCTACATATATTGACCACTTGATGGAATAGCTTGTGTTATAAAGATGATTTCTGTTTAAAGACAAACATCTTCTTATCTACAGGATGTTCAGTTCACACTTGGCTCACCTGCCAAAATGTCGGTTGCATTCTGGTACCCAATGGACAGCAAACCGTGGCACGGATCAGGACACTACACGATCAACTGCGATTGGATCCCTCTAGATATCTCCCCGGGGTCTTCTTCGGGCCTTGCCGCTCCAACCGTCAAGGGTTCTAGCGATGGAACCAGCATTTCTGCCATTGTGATTTCCTTGATTTCTCTTGTCGTTTCGGTTTTTATTGCATATAAGTTATTTAGCCCCATGAACGTTCCATTCACACCAATGGAAAACAATCTGTAGGAGAAAATAGGTTTACACGGTTATTAGTCCCTCCCTTATAGTCACATTGAACATTTGGTTTTGGTACCACATTGAAAGAAATTCTTTTTGGCTTGTAGTAAAATGGGTCTATTTGTTGGATTTTGTGTTCTGACATTGGTCATTTCAAACGGTTCCGTTTTTGTATCAAAAACAAAAAGTAAAAAGAAAGGTTAAAAATAATACACTCCAAGACTCAAACCCCTTATTCATTGTTTGCAACGGTTTATTTGCTTTCTTTTTTGGGGTTTGAATTTGAAGACGTTCGAGTATATGTATGATGCTAATTGATAAGTAACGCATGGATATTCATGGTCGTTTAAAAAATAGAGGATAAATATCCAATTTGGACATTGAGGAGACTGTAACAAGTAAGTAGACATAGATCAATAAAACATTCATTAACTCTCTTTTTTTTCTGCGAAAAACATTTTGTCTTATTGAAAACTGATGTAATCTTTGTATATTTCTATATTTTAATCGATCGGTTTACTTCTATAATGTAATCTGTTTTAAATTAGTTTTTAAAACAAAAGGTTTTTCATGTACCTTCGTAAACTTAAGAAATAAAGCTGGTCTGATCTTATTTGGTATAGGTTTCATTCCAAAGTTCTCAATCACAATGTGGATTGCTAACTACAATAGACTGCCTACTAGATTAAGGTGGAAAATTAACACTATAAGCAAGTAAGTGACGAAGTGTATTATACACATCCTCTCAAATTTATTTAGAGAATCTTCTTAATTCAGACCAAATAGCTTCAAATTTGACTATAGCTTCATTAATGTCAGGAAAAATATGCACAAATTTTGAACTTATGATTTTGATCGATCATCACATATCTTGATGATCGATCACAGTTCCCTTGCTATTAGATTAGGAAGGGACGAGAAATTTTTCGCCAACTGGAGAAGCTTCACCTTCTTTTGATGTTAAACATTTGGAGATGGACGATTAAAAAAAGATTTACATGTGACCTTAAAAACCACAGAGAGTGAGCTTCAGTGCGAGTTGGCGAAATCTCAAAGCGGTGCCGAGATGGTAAAAAAAAAATTGTCATTCTACTTTTAATTATTGACCTTTTAACTTTTAATCTTATATTGATAAATGCGTTTGGATTTCAGGACGCACATGACTTTCAGTCTCTTGTCTATTTTAGCGCGTTTGAAGTGACTAGATATGGGATCAGGGTTATCTTGTCGATGTCGTTAGCAATAATGTCTATCGCCACTCCACGTTCTTCTAATGTAATCAATCTCATAATCCCACTTTGAGATTCCATCTACTACTTAGTACCACACTTGTGTGATTAATATTGCTAAAGATATGTTCTGTTTCTCCAGTTTTTAATTACTCTCTTGTGCTTTAAATTTTGGATTATTTGAATATGTCTTATGAATCCAGTGTATTTTTTGTTTTTAATTACATTGTTATGTTTAAAATTTCGGATTATTTAAGTATGTGTTAAGGATTTACTCGTGTGTATGCTCTGTTTTTCCAGTTAAGGATCCGAAAGAGGGAAAATATAATACTTTCAAACTTGGTTTCTTTTTATTATTTTGTCATTGGTGGGATTCAAATTTGGGCTTAAGCAAGACATATTCGCTTAGGTTAAAATTATAATTAATGCGTATATCTGTTTGAATGTATAACTTTCTCATATACCTAAGAGTATATATGAAGAGAAATTTAAAAAAATGCGACTTTTCAAGTGCCACTTTACAAAAATGTCACACTTTTAAAATCTTTACAAAAATGCCACTTTTTCAAAATTATTTTTTCTTTATATCATTTATATTTGAGTTAATTATATTCTATTAGTGTTTAGTTATGAGGGTTTAGGGGGTTTTAGGGGTCAAAACATTTTTTAGGGTTTAGAATTTTAAGATATAGGCTTTATAAATCTATAATTAGTGGTATTTTTACAAATTGGCACCCCTAAGTGGTATTCTTGCAAATGTGCACACAAAAAATGGCATTTTTGTAATTTCTCCATATATGAAGCCACATGTACTATGAAGAAATTTGAAAAAATATTTCTTTTGACTTTTTAAATTTGAAAAATACCTCTTTTTTTTTTTGAAAAATACACTTTATTAAATATGAAATTACGAAAATAGCCTCAAAATTTCTGCACAACAAATGATAAATTATATATTTAAAATAGAATTAATTTGTTGTGATAAATTAATATATATATAACAAAAATTATAATTTTATGAAAATAATATTTTTTGAAACGCAAAATTAGAAAATTTTACATATAATAAAGAGAGATCCATAAAAATATCTCATGAAAATTGTCATAATATCGTATCTCTCTGCCATCGTATCTCTACGTCACCGCCCGCGTATCACTCCGTCACCACCGTCTTATCTCTCCGTCACCATCCATGCATCACTCCGTCACAACCGTCTTAACTCTCTTTTTATCCTCATATCACTCCGTCACCACCCTCGTATCACTCCGTCTTACCGTCGTATCTCTCGATCACCGCATATCACGGTAATCACCATGTTCCTGTTAATTGTATATTTGTATTGCTGGAAACTATTAAATTTGTTCTTTCCATTTTCGATTTGTTGTGTTGTCTTGGTTTTTATTCTTAAAATGATTCTTATTTTGTTTTCAAGAACAAAAAAATGGTGCATGGTGTTTTTGGAGGATGGATGAAGAATATATAAAGACTCATGAAATTTCAGTGTGAAAAACGAATTTTTAATTAATAATAGAACTTTATCTCAAATAAAAAGAAAATTAATATTAATAATAATTCTATTACGAATTAATTAGTTTTAATATCAAATGTGGATAAAACAGATTTTTCAATTATTAAAAGAAGTATTTTTC